TCCTTGCCTTACCTTCTCCGCCATAGCCTCCGCGCACCATATTCTTCACCTAACATACATCCCACTAACTTTTATCCAAATCCGACTTCGCCAGTTGGTTCTCCTCGCCAAAAAACCTCCCCATAGCCTTTTGTCTCACTCAATTTATCAAGATTTGAGTGAGATATAGACTTTCTACTCTCGTCGACTTTTCTCACTCGACACCCCCGGCGCACTTACTTTCTCACTAACTTCTCGTTCTACTAACTTAGCATCTAAACTAACACCACCATTGCGGTCGCCCGGGTCTGAAMCCCCCGCCTAAACTCTTACGAGCACACTATGCCTTCTCCTTCCCGCCATAGCCCCCTTTCCCTCTTCATGCACCCGGCCCACTAGTCCGCCCGGGTTCATTCTCGGCACTCCTCCTGCCTCAGCTTCGCTACACCGCCCCGACTTCTCCTACAACGCTCGTTTTCCACCTTCAATCTTCGCCCTGTCGCCCATCAGTCCCGGGCGCTTCGCCCGTTGCTCCCTGGCCTTCTTCTCCAAATGGATCCGGTGTGGAAATGCGTCCGGATTCCTCCCCTCCTCGGCTCACTGTAGCCCGCTGTGTACCGCCGCTCTACCTCACCCGTTTCAACCCGACAATATCCGACAATAGCCTACTTGTAGCTCCCGTCGCCGCATTCCCTTCCCAGCCTGTCGGGGAGTGTTTCCATGAGCACGTTAGTGCCCACCCCCGCATGATTCAGCGGCCAGGTTCGGCCTCTCTTGCTTGCTGCCTTCGTACGCCCCCTGTCCCTTCGGCTTCCGCAACACTCCGCTCCTCCCTGCTGCGCACGCACCCGGCGCCAGGCCGCGTCCCAGTTCACTCCCTGCGCTTATTAGTTTCCAATGCCCCCACACTCAAAGATTCTCGGGCGGAGACCGACTACTAGGTCGTCCGAGCCAGCCTGTTGCTCCTATAGGCTGAGCCGACAGTGTGGCCCAGTGGTTTTAGCCGTGGCCTCCTCCTGCAGCACACGGTCCCGCAACCGTGCAGCATACTGCAGTATGCTCCTGCTACCCGAAAAACGCCCCTCCGGCGGAGCCCGCCACCCACATGGCCTGGTCTCTCCGGCCTATGCTCAGGTCGTGTAGGCATTTCACAGCATAGTATCACCTCGGGTCTCCTCTCCAGCGCCCCCCCCCGCTGTCGTCCTACGACATCCCGCTTACCGCACGAAATCGCGCCGTTATTGCCGATGCCATCGTCGGGGTCGTTCTCTGCACGCGCGTTTGACTCGGTCAAATGTACCAAGCAAACGAAAATATCCTTAATTCCTGCTTAATAAATAAATAATAATATCACTAAGCAAAACGACCGAGGTCCGGTCCGGCTTTTCGATCAACAACAGAAAAGAATCACGCGGGCCTTAAACCTGCGCGCCCACGCACTCGCTATTGTGGTAAACCACCCAGTCAACGCAATTACAAACGCAGCCGTACTTAGCGCGATATTCTTAAACTTTAAACCAAACAATTTTCTGTTACTTGCAAAAATCAGGGCGGATACCCTTGTAAGGGTATTCGCTCCGACAGCCTTACCGGACCATATTAAGCGACGTCCCCGTCGCTTCGCCAAATTTGAAAGCTATAAATCCATTCACACTCCAAATGCCGACGAAAGAGGTGAGCCAATCCGATTAGCCGACAAACACAGGGTAGAGGCCTCCATCAAACCATGCCTCCACAACTATATGCGGCCAGGTTTCTAACCTGGGCCTCACACCGTCCAGAAATTAGGATACTGGCAGCATAAGTTCCAAAGACCTTCCCAATCGTCCTCTCCCCGGTCCTAGATAACCTTCGGCTTCTCGTTGGGTGTCCCTAGTCCTGGCAAAAACTAGGGACGCGGACCTTAACCGAGACCTTTGAAGGCACTCTCGCCTTCTTTCTCAAAATCTCTCGCAGTCAAATATATATGTAAACTTAATATCCACTCCGCTCTTTCTGCAGTCTAGTACAGAAAGGCTCGGTCTCCATCTTGGCCCACCATCGCCTGGTTGATCGAACCAAGACTACGGCCCACCGCATTGTTGTTTAACGGCAGTACCCTCGTTGGTTACGCAACGATAGGGTTTCTCCTGATAAGCATTCAATCAGGACCTCCCAAAATCTCAACCTTCACTATCCCACGGAGTAATTTCCTTGGAGCGGGTAACTCCCCTTAAACTCTTACCCCGTGGTTCCGCAACCAGGTTGCGCCAGTTAGCAGCCATCCAATGGGGTTACGCCCTAGAGGTACTAACTTCTTTTCTGTTAGCTTGGTCTTTCTTCAATATGTCTCAGAATTAGCACTAATGGTTAAACGGGTGCGTCGCAAAACAAAATCACAGGCCCACTGCGCGATACGCAGGGGTCCGAAGACATTTACCAGCCCTCCTTCAATAGGCATGACCTCCTTCGCACGCTTACAAGCAAAATTACCGCTAAATCTACCAGGCCGTGACCCCTGACTTGATCAGAGCCAGTAGCCACCCACCCTGAGACATCTCTCGCCCTGTACTCATTGCGACTTTCTCAAATATTTCAAACAAAAAGTGACCCCTTTCCGTCAGACTTTATCACCCATCGAACAACTCATCATGCCATAAATCAATTTACTCACTTCTGAGGATGAGTCTTTCAACCAAAAACCACTCCCCTTTTCCAACAATCCAAAAGGGGTTCTCTTTATAACCAAAACACCCCCTTTTCCAAAAATCGCGAGGGGTCTCGTCATAAAACAATACATTCCCTCTTCCAGAAATCACGAGGGTCTCATCATAAACAAAACACCCCCTCTCTCAAAATCACGAGGGGTTTCGTTACATCACAAAACATCACAAAACATCCCCTCTCTTTTCCAAAATCTAAGGGGGTCCCATCATAAAACAGAACATCACTGAGAGACCATCTTATGGGTCCTCATTACAACTTAGATAACTTTCACAGACGGACTGCGCTTCCTCCCCTTATACTCTGCCTTATTGGTTGCCGTGGGCAGGTTGCACAAGTATACCGAGGAGTAGGCAGTTTTACTTACAATCATATTCACATACCCAAGATACATAAAAGGTTTTTCACACATTGTCCACACAAACTCATCATACATCAGAGTACAACCACACATGTGAGAAAGACAAGTGATCGTCACATATAAGAATGTTCCCTGAAGGAAACCTCATCATAATATACACTCAGGGAATACAATGTCTCATACAAAAAGTGTCTACAAATCATAGCTTGCTCAACTCAAGCCACACCAAACCCACACTGACAACTACCCTTAGAATACATGTCAGATCTGTCTCTCAAAGGCCAGGGCGTAGGCCACCTAAATATGTACATGCCTCATCTAAACCACCCTGACCCTCAAAACCCCAACTCAGTAGAAACACTAGAGTTCAGATCTAGATTAGTAGTAATCATCAAAATGTCTTCTAAGTCTAAGAGTATCACACAGAACCTAAGTTGATGCCTCACAAAATGCCCGCTCGCTTATATAGACAAAGCCGACCCTACCTCCTCAACTCCTCCTGGTTTTGCCTATATAACTGAGCCCTAAGTCCATCTGCGGACTTATCTACTATCCTACCCTGTCTATCATACATTTTACCCCCTACCTCTGAAATCTTCCCTGCTGCCTTATCCTCAAGAAACTCGAGACAGTCCAAAGCATGATGCGCGCTCCTCTTGCAGTAGAAACATAGTTGATCAACCTTCCTCTTGAACTTCTTCTTCCTGGGCTGAGGAGGTGGTGATGAAGGAGATCCTGCCAAGGTACTGATAACCCCCTGCTGCTCTACTTGAGGAGCTATGGTACCAACGACTTCCTGCCGCTCTGTCCCCGGAACTGGTCCACCAGACCCAGATCCAGTAGCCCAAAATCCTAGTCTGCCTCTCAAATCCTCTGTCGCTGGAACGTACTCGGGCGTGTCCAACCTCTGAGGCTTCCTCTCGAGTGTCGCCCCTGGCACTGTCGTGGGCTGCTCCTCAATCTCCTCTGGTCCATACTCAGGTGTGCCTATCCTCTGGAGTCTGCCCTCGATGGCACCCTCCTCCTCAATCCTCATCTCTCTCTCAAGAGGCTCTTCTATCCTCCGCTCAGGTGAAAACAAACTCACCTCCTCCTGCATAGTATGCACCGCCTCAAGGAACACGCCCATGGATCCCTCTGCCGAGCCCTGAGCCGGCTCATTGCTAGATGGTGGCAGCCCCTCCTCTACTGCCAAAGGTACGACTGGGCCTGCCGCCGCCACCGGCAGCGTCGCGAGCTCAGTAGGGGCTCTAAACTCGAATGCCTCTCTCTCTGCCTGTCTCTGGACTCTCGCCTCCCCTGGCTCCAGGATAACTCTCCCCATAGGCAGCTCCTGGCGAGGCTCTGTCGCAGATGGCTGTCTTGGCAATCCCTGTCCTGGCTGCCTCTGCTCTCCCTGCCGGCTGCTCTCTGATCTGTCCACCTTTCCCTGGGTTTGCTGCCTCAGGCTCTCAATGATAGCTGCCTGGCTGGCCACCAAAGCCCTAAGTTCCTGAATTTCCACCTCCATAGCCTCCAGACGTACTCCATGGCTGGCTTCCTTCATTTTCTTCCCCGCCAGATCGCCCTCCAATAACAAGTGCCGGTCAAAAGTGGTCTTGGCCAGGAACTTGATTTTACGATCTAACCTTTCTTCCGCCTTCCTGGCCACCCCAAACCCGGCTCTGACTGGCGATGGAAGCTCCTCTCCTCTCTACTCCCAGAAGTCTCTCTACATTTCAGGAATCTCCGGGGCCTTGGCTGGTGCGCTAGGGGGCTGACCCGGGAGTACTTCTTCTGCCTCCGATCTCTGCCTCTCCTGCTGCTGCTCCGGGAGCTCCCCAACTGCCTCCAACCTCTGCCTCTCCTGCCATATTTCATCTATCCGCCTGGTTCGTCTTGCCCTCTTTTCTTCGGCCGTCTCTCCAGCTGGCACCCTTTCCCTTGTGCGGAGGTCGACCCTCTTTGAGATTTCTGCTTCCATCTCCTTCTCGGTCTGGCATGACTCCTGGCGTGGCTCTGCAGGTGATGGCTCCTCCAGGTCTGGGTGCTCCAGGGCATGAGCTGCCAGGTGCCTATCAATCAGGATCAAAGCTTCTCTCCTTACAGCTGCCCTCTCTCTCCTCCTTTCTACCCTCCCTTCTGGCGAAGGAGCCTTTTCTGACGAAGGTAAAGGGGTCTCCTCTCTCTGCAACCCCTCCTTTGCCTGCCGGGTGCTCCCTGGTGCACCCCCGAGTCTCAAACCCACTGCTGGCGTCTGTGGGGGCGTGTCYTCTCCAACCTCTATCACTTCCTTCCCTGCACGTCTCCCCTTATCGCCCAGCCCTCTCTCTCGCTGAGTACCCTGGACCTCTTCCTGTGACACCTCCTCCCGTGGCATCTCTTCTCGTGGTATCTCCCCCTGTGGCACCTCCTCTCGTGACACCTCCTCTGCCTGCTCTTCATGCTCCTCACCCTGAAGCGACGCCCTCCACCGAGAGATATCTAAATGCATCTCCAATTCCCTCAAGGGCCCCTCTGACGCTGGTGGCTTCCCCTGTGTGTGTGCTAGCGACCTCCTCAATCCACCCTCAGTAAAACGATGGAACTCCACTGACCCCAACCCACACTCAGGGTATGCCCCTCGCTCCTCATCCTCTGGCTCCTGCTCTCTCCTGGCTAGGGCCTTCCGTCCTCCTCGAGATGGTCTCGCCTCCCTGGGCTCAGGGTCCCTCGACCTCTGACTCCTCTGCCGCCTCTCGACTCTGGACTGAGGGAGCTCTGGCCGTCGAAAGGCCTCTCTCAAATGTGCCCTGCAGCCAATCATCTCTCTGTATGCCCTGCTCTTGCATGAACCACTCAAACGCGGGGATGAAGTCCGACGCATTTCCAATCTCCAGGCGGATCGGCCTGCCATCAGGTCCCACAGGCGAGGGTCGCAACTTCTCCATCCTTATCTCCACCTCCTGTCTCGTCGTCGCCTCCCTACGAATCCTGGCAATGGGCTCTTCGAACTTACCTGCTCCCCTCAATCTCTCAATCGCCTGAGTGACGGTCCAGCCCATACGCCTCGCATGCTCCCAGAAACTGTCCAGGAATAGCTTGGTATCCCCATCATTGTAGACTGGAGTACTCTCTCGTTGGCGAGGCCCATGCCGCTCATATCCTCCTGATGCGCCCAACAGCCTCTGAGGCGGCCGTGTCCCCTTCCCTCCTCTTGGCATGACTGTCTTCGTAAAGTCAGACCTGCACAGCAGGCGAAGGAGACAACAGGCACACGTTGGGGTAAGCAAGCAGGTGATAATCAGAGCAAGCTCAGACCAGACCACACTTATACAGCATGCATCCTTCCTAACCTACACACCCTGTTGCTTCTATTCTAAAGGCGGTCAGGTCATCTCTCTTACCTCTTCTCTCGCCACAAATTTCTTCAGTCGCGTTCCAGATACCCAATCCTTCCACTCAGTCCCATTTAACTCCTCGATCTGGTACGCTCCGAAGTCTCCGACCCGTGCAATTCGGTAGGGACCTAACCATCTCTTATCGAGCTTCCTGGACCACTGCTTCTTCAGCGACGTATCGTAGAGAAGCACGACATCCCCGACTGCCAAGGGTACTTTCTTCACTCGCGCAGACTGATTCCATTGGGCCTTATCATCCATACGGCTTCTCGCCACCTGATCAGATGCCTCCTGGATCCTTTCTTCTATCGCCCCGACCTGCCGTGCCCGAATATCGAGCAACTCTTCAAATGACAGGTTGACTTCCAGATCCCGGCGCCTCCACGTCTTAAGAAAGCTTTCGATAGGGAAGGTGGCATGCCTTCCGTACCACAGCGTCGCAGGTGCGTACTTGGTGGATCTCTTTACTGTAATGTTCTCGACAAAGAAAGCCGCCCTTAGGTATCTTGGCCATTGATTAGGCCTACCTTCGGTCCATTTGGCCAG